GCCAAGAGAATATGAAAATATTTACGTTTGGTATTCAAAAATCCCGGACGTTGGCAAATGGGCGAGAGGGAGTCATGAATGAAATTCATATTTCCCAATTTTAAATTACACAAATGTTTGGGTTATTTTCTGCTTTTAAATTGCTCTACGCATTGAAAATTTCCAAAAATATGCATTTCTATATTATTTGCATGCGCTACAGGGCAATAAAGGTTAAGAGATATTTTCAAACCTTTTAAATTTATTAGATTAGATTTATATCTTTTTTCATCGGTGCCATAAAGTAAATAATTTTTCAAATAAAACTCGATCCAGTCTTAATGGCCAATTTAAAATCCGACAGCATGGCAAATAACACCGTCGTTGAAATGCTTCAATCTAGGATATGTACTTTTATAGGCTAAATTATATATTATATATATATTGATTATGTAAATCGATTGCCACTATGAAAAATTTGAAATTTTTTAAGTGACAGATTCTTCGAAAGTTAAGGTGAGAGTGCATAAAACGCTTTTTTGACTGGCTTCTTCGGAAAAGGGTTAAAATCGAACTAAGTCAACCTAAAAGTCCTTTGTTTCTCAACGAAGAAGACAGTCGATGACTAATGTCAATCAAAAAAGCTTTTTATCTCACCTTCAAGTCCACTTCTCAACCACGGTAGAATTGAAAATGTGGCATTGTGCATTCATATCTCTCCATGGCTTAACTCTAGTTTAGTAAAAACTCTTCAGTTTTTTTAATTTTTTTCCAGTGGTAGGTATTTTTACCCCGATTCCAGGAAACTATTGTTTTTTCTTGGGGGACAGATCCGCGATCCCAGATTTTTGACCCGAAAGTTTGAAAGAAAATATGAAAATAGCTATCCAACAAGTGGACACATAATGGGGTTATTTAAAGCTATTCGGAAGTGATTGTCAAATTATCGATTTTTTGGACTCGGATGTTTTAAAAAACCCTCAAAAAGTCGAAAAGGACCCATTATGACACTGACACTCTTACCTTTCCAAAATGCTACAATTTGTGCTATTATATTTTTCGGGTCTAGCACAGGTATTAAACTCAGATTTTCAGGTCAAAAATCTGGGACTCCGGATTAATCCCCTAAGAAAAATATACTTTCCCGGAATCAGAGTAAAAACACCTACCTCTGGAAAAAAAAATTCAAAAAAATCGAAGAGTTTTTACTAAACTAGAGTTGTTCCAACAATAAGTTCGGCCGGCCTGAACTTTTAACACCCTCCACCATTGGGTAAAGAAAATATTTTTATATAAAAGTATCTGAATTCAAAAGGGTTGCACTTTAAACTACAAATACCAGTGTGACCGTTTGGATAATGCAGATAAACTTTAAAAAAAAACATAAAGTTAGTGAGGAAGTTACATGCGGGCCATACCAAAATGAGAACCTATATAGACAATTTTATACTACAATCTACAATTATCTATCAAATGTTCTTAAATACCAAATTTGAAACAATTTCGTGGGTAAATGTGGCAAAATCGCCAAAATACCGAATATCGGGAGGTACCGTTATATGGGCGCTATGCGAAGAACGTGAGCCTATACATACAATGTTCTGTCACCGGAGTTAGAACCCATTATGACCTGCAAATACCAAATTTTAGACAAATCCGTGGAAAAATGAAGGCAAAAATCATTAAAATGCCGAATATCCAAAGGTACAGTTATAGGGAAGAAAACGTTATATGAAGGAAAACGGGTACCGTTATAGACAATCTCACGGGGATATACGGAAACGTAGACCTATACATACAATGTTCCGCCACACGAGCCAGAACCCATTACGCTCTACAAATACCAATTTTTAGAAAAATCCGTGAAGAAATGTGGCGATAATCATCAAAATACCGAATATCGGGAGGTACCGTTATATTGCAGTCGGGAGGTACCGTTATATATAATACCAACCATCCTAAACACAATACAAATTGTTCTGCCAAAATTTTTAAGCTCTAAATCAAATAATGTGGGCTGTATCGTGATTTCAACACATGGGCATCGTTAAATCGACTATGAATTTTATGCTGATCATGAATATATATATTTTATGGGGTCTACGTTGAATATTTAGGGGTGTTACAAACGGAATATATCCCCCTTTTCAAGGTGGAGAGTATAATGAGAAAAAAGTACTTTAAATACACAAATCAAAAATTATAAATACAAATTTGAATATTATAACTTGGAATGAGATTACCTTGAATAAATTGTATCATTCTCTCAAGTTTCTACTCTCGAATATTTTAAAAATCCAATATTTCTATGACTTATCCCCCATTGCATTTCACAACAGCCTCCAATTTCAGAAAGTTTTCTTCTTTTTTTTCACTTATGACTAAAACAAGTTTCAAAATCAAACTTTTTTTTATGTTTTGCATTCTGGGTACGGGTGGTATTTACGCATTTCAAGTGATGTTGACTTTGTGCCACAGAACTATGAATGTGTTAAACTGCAAACTTTCTAATGAATAAATGAATATTTTTTTTCTACACACACTATGTTTTTTTGGGAGAATTTATGTTTGTTAACAATTCCGGAGTTTGTTGGTGTTGTTTTTATAAGCCAAACTGACCAAGTAAATAAGAATATATGTATAGAAAATTTGTTCTCATGCATGTCTACACCATCCGTATGTCGTATATCAATTGTTTGGGTTATATCCTTACAAGGATATTTGAATATGTATTTTAAAGAAAAACAAGTAAAAAAGCTGTAAAGTTCGGGCGGGCCGATCTTTGAATAGCCTCCACCATCTGGAACGAATTTGGCAATTCTCAAAAAGATTGAAATACGTTAAAAAATCTGTCAAAATCATAAAAATACCCAATGTAGCTGTTGTATTAGGCTATATACAACGACATGGACCTGCATAAGTAACTTTTGTCTTAAGCCATTGCAATATTCAAATGCGAAACTTAAAAAAAAAATCGGTGAATAATGTAGCTAAAATAACAAAAATGCTAAATATCGGGAGGTACAGTTATATCGGGGCTATACGAAGACGTGGATCTGCGCAGACAATTTTCGGTCTTAGGCTGTAGTATCCATTACGAACGTAAAACAATTCCGGTGAATAATATCGCTTAAATCATCAAAATACCGAATATCGGGACAATTTTCTGTCTTAGGCTGTAGTATCCATTGCGAACTTCAGTACCAAATTTGAGACAATTCCGCTGAATAATGTCGCTAAAATCATCAAAATACCGAAGGTCGGGAAGTACCGTTATATGGGGGCTATACGAAGACGTGGACCTGCACAGACAATTTCCTGTCATAGGCTGTAGCATCCATTACGAACTTCAAATACCAAATTTGAAACAATTCCGGCGAATAATGTCGCTAAAATCATCAAAATACCGCATATCCGGAGGTACCGTTATATGGGGGCTATACCAAAACGTGGACCTACATGACCCATTTTTAATACCGAAAGTCCTTCAGGCATAATATACATTTGGGTAAAATTTTATCAATCTACTTCAATTCCTTCGGAAGCTCGAGTGATTTCCACAGACGGACAGATGGACGGACATTGCTAAATCGACATAGAATTTTATTCTGATCAAGAATATATATACTCTGTGGGGTCTAAAATGTATATTTCGAGGTGTTATAAACGGAATGACAAACTTAAACAAACTTAATATAATCTACGAAGATTAAGTAAAGGCACTTGGTTATAGACTGTATGAAATGTGGAACAACAATGCAACACCATAATGAGTACCACCTACACCATTTCTATGCGATTTATTTCACTTTAAATTCTCCGCACAAATTACACGGAACTAATTAATACCTCTTACATCCAAACAATCCAAGTTAAAGAAATGTTTTTTATTGAACAGACTTTGTAAAAAACAAATATAAATAGATTTTCCCGTAGTCCTTTATTGCATCTCTATTTTGATCATAATCCCTCTTGGGCAAATAAGTATATGTGTACCTGTTCAAAAATAATAACCCACAATAATTTCTACATTGTTGGTATGTATGTACGTATATACGTAAAATATTAACTCACCATTTATACTTCTATCCCCTTCTCATCTTTGTACTCACATTTGTCCATCTCATCCTACACATCCTGGTTAGTCTGTTTATCTTCCTATCTGCTGTCTATAGAAAAAATTTGCTGCTTCTTTGGGATTCCTTAAATGATTTCATACCATAGACAAGGATTTATTTGTGGTAACCCAGATGACTGACTGACTGGCTGACAGACCGACTGGAAGATTGTGTTGTAACATAGCTTGTTGGATGGACCAACAGAAATAAAAAGAAAATGACAAAAGTTAACATAAAAGAATTGGTTCACCTCAATTCCTTAAAATCCTTGTTTATTTTTTTTTTTTTTTTTTTTCATTTCTTTGTCAGGACCTTTATGTGTGGCTGGCTATGAAGCAATGTGAGTGACTTACAGTTTGCAATATAATTGAATTTATTACAATAAAATAGTAGGTAAGCTATACGCATTACGAGGTGGTAATGATGAGTTGGGGCATTGGTAGTAATTTCAAGAGGTCAATCGACCAATAAGGTTGTCTTTTTTTAATAATGATAATATTAATTAATAACCTTCCATTCATCCAAGTAAATCCTCTAACTATTTTAAAGAGATTTATGGTATTAATCAGTTTCAAGATATTCTCTGGATACTGCCAACAACCAAACTAGTATTATATTCACCTAAGTGAATTGTGTCATATGATGGGCATGTTGCAACATAAATTTGTTTGTATATTGGAAGAAAGTTTAATAAAATTGAATTTAAATGATGTTTTTTTCATGTGGATAAAACGAACTATTCCCTCTGAATAGTGTTTGGTTTATGTTCATTTTCTCCAAAGTTTAGCTCTTTTTTGTGAACAAACCCCATCCCCTTATATTATGCCATTTAATCTTCATACTAATTAACTCTTCTTCTTAAAATTCTAATATTTTTAAGTAAGAAATTATACATCCGAACACTCGCTGTATTATTATTTATTTGATTTGATTTATTCCATTCTACAAAGTATCGAAAAAATATAGTACATATTTTTAGAAATATTTTATTTATACAAAGTGTTCTTGTATAGAGAGAGATTATGGCAAAATATGATAATGGTAAAGCTTAAAACTACTGTATTATAGAAATATAGAAGTAATACAAATTAATTAAATATTAATATTAATTAACATTTTTTTATTTTAAATCACAAATGGAAGCATGAACGATTGAGTGAGACAATCCGAGCTATTTAAGCTCCATGGCAAAAATATCCCCCATTTATATATAAGACAAAATTAATTTAACATCCCCAGGATTCACCACGAATTTCCCAGGGGATTAAGAAATGCTTGGCCTTCTACATTTCCCAACGCCAGAGATGTTTCACGAGTTTCCATGAGTTTGAAAAAGATTCGCCTTCTATGTTTAGGGTTGATATTGTGCTCTCACAACGTTGCCATTGCACAAAGGAACTAGTTCGATGAGCTTTCCTTGTAAATCACACCTGTTATTTCCCCATCCTTTTGGATAATGCAGCGTCTATATGAGTATAAATAATAAATAAAATAGAGGAAATACTGCATATTGAACATATGTGCTTACTTATTCCCACTATATAAAACAATGGTGGGTGGATTTAGATTGGGTTCCAATTTGCATGCCTGCTCCGACAAGGCCATACCAATGCCAGACATTTTGGGATTGATTTTACCGGCAGCTATATTATCAATAAATAATTTAATATTTAATGTAAATTATCGAACTCATGCCAAAAACTTACCTCCAAGACAAAGACCCTGACGATTAGTTATCAGACATCCCACGGTATCAGGTTGCGAGTTGCTAAGAGTAAAATCCTTTAGTATTTGATTTATAAGCAAAGGAGTTTTTTACTTACATTTCATTTAAAGCCTTTTCCAATTGCTGTTCCATTGTTTTGATCCTAAATTGTTGATAATTTCTACAAAATGTTAGACTTGTTTTTTAACAAAATGTGTGGAATTTTGTTTATGAATCGTTTTTTTCCTACTCCCTCTTCTCTATTTGCTCTCTTTGTATTATCAGCTGAGGGCAATACCTCAAAGCTCTTTACATGTAAAATGAACGCCGTTGAAATAGACAGAAACGCCGTTAAAAGGCTTGAATGAAAATAAATATAATTTAAATTAGACAATTGTAATTGCCGAATGTACAATACTGTTGGTGAGAGAGGAAAACAGGGACTCCCTCACTTCTCAATAAAATTGAGTACGTAAAAACTGATAATTGCAGTATTTTTTATTGCCTGGGGTAAAGTAAGAACCCAGAGTTGGGAATGTCCCTACATTTCTAATGGAAAATTCAAAAGAAGTAAAGTTAACTAAGTCTGTAAAAAATAGTTGTAATTTCTTTGTAACTGTGAATTGATTTTACCAGTTTTCTTTGTAATGGAACCAAAAGGTCCAACATGTCACTGTCAAAACGCTTATTATTTCATTATATATACATAAACCAGAGATGGAAAACTGCTTTCAATCAAGTTGAATTTAACGTGACAATTGCAGAAAATGCAGAGCTGGATATAATTATTCGAAATTAGGTTATATTTAATTGTACCAAGGTGGTATGGTCCTCATTTAAATTGTATGGAAACACTGTGATATGTCATGAGTATTAGAGTGGGTCCATTTTTATGAAATTGACAACATCCAAAATACGTGAACTATGGTAGGGCATTGTGCAAGGGTAACTACATATCTTCACAATGCTGCTCGATTTAATTCCTAGTAGTTTGAAAGGCCTACAATGGGATAGCAGGGACTGAGAGTCTTTTTTAAAGTTTGAATGTAAACCATTTGCTGAATATTCTCATTTTAACAGAGGGAGAGACTTAATATAATTTATAAAACAATATTTCGGAAATATGTTTAAAAATATCTGGCTCTATGGATTGACTATTCTTTCCATAGTTCTGACGATAACAACTATGTATGCATGTTTATAAATATATGCGTCATTACTTCCGCAAAAAAAAGCCCATGCTACAAAAAGTAGAACAAACATTTTATCTAACATTTATCAAATTTCAAACAATACAAGACTTTTTCATTTTCTTATCATTTATTTATGATTTGTGTGTGTGTGTTTAATAACTACTGTTTTTTTTTTAATTTTTATAAAATTATTTCATTTTTCTGTTTGGAATATTTTTATTATTATTATTTGTATATAATTGTATAATAAAGTAAACGATAAACGCGTTATGTATATATAAAAAAAATCAATTAGTTTTATATAGTTGAGGAATAATGCGAATGGTATTGTTGTAACAAACTCCTCGGTGTGGAATACGAATACGAGAAAAACTTAAAATTCTATGTTTTTAACATACACAGACTCGAAAATGAAGAAGACAATTACATGTAAATGATTTTTTGCAAGGGTTTTGGAATTTATGGTATCAAACATTGCCAGGATTTGTATTCTTTTCAAAGAGGGAAAGAAATATAATAACGATACGCAAAGCAAACGAATGTATGCCAGGGAAAAGAATATAAATCAATTATCCTATATTATCAACCATTCCCATCATGACGATTTCGAACACGCTGGGAGAGATTTAATATGCTGCATTATTATCCTTGTAGATATTCCTATAAAAATTTGCTTTTTTTGCATACTTTGTTTAAACAACTTCGTATTTATCTGCATAGAGAATATTTTCTGTTGAGAATTTCACAGGTTCATCATTGTCGACCAACACAACTTCTTTAGCTTTCAGAGCAGCATAGGGCGTTTTCGAAACAAATGAAACCTAAATGAAAAAATTCATTAGTATATGTGCGTTATTTAGGGCATGGTGTTGATCTTACTTGCACTGGGAAGAAATCACCAGGTATGGATGAATTACAACTGAATTCCATGGCTCCCGATTTATTGGCAGCATCAATGACAGGAATATTCCATTGTAAAATATGTTTACGTGCATCATAATTGTATGTGCCATCATATTCGGCAACTTGGGGTTGGACATTCATACTGAAATTAAAACAAAAAAATATTTGTAATTCAAATTGAGGCTCTTCAACCATGTTTTTACTTACGGCAATGGTATAACAATAGAAACATCTTGTAACTCCAAATGTTGAGCTTCCAATTCATATTCAATGTTAACATCGCATCCACCTTCTCCATTTTCAGATGGCCAGCAGTTTACTGTTTGGATAACAAGAAAATAGGGAATAAATTAATGAAGTTCAAAAATAAGTTAGATATGACAACAATATGGATAAATTTATCTAAGACGTTAAGCTTTTTAATGGTCAGTTCTCGTAAGAATAAGTAGTGTTGATGTTCAGATACTGCAAGACTCAAAGCTTAGACTTTATACAAATCAGAACTCCTCGGTTTAACAAAATTGACCTAAAAGTGAGTGTTTCAAATTTACTCATTTTTTTAAATAATTGGATATGGTAGACTTTGCAAGTCCAATCCAAACCGTCATCACATGAAACCCTGTTATATCATTTCGAATTCATTAAATATCCAACTTACTTGTCAACGGTATTGCCGAATCATCTTGTGTCACAAAACGCCATTTCAATACACCCACATCTGTATTCAATGGGAATGGTTTGGCGGGATTTTTCAAACCAATTATCGAACGTGTCTTAAACAATTCCTTATCAACGTTAGGATGTGTTTGCAACTGTATGCCATGGGCATCATTATTTTCCAGAGCGACTTTAATGCGACCCATATTCTCATCCGAAATACGTAGCGTCAACAGACCAGAGAGCTCAAATTGTTGTAGACCACCATCACGACCAATGCGTACCACCAATTTATCTTCCATTTTCAAATGTATACTTTCCATATGGACATCGGATATGATTTTAGCTTTGACAGCTGCAACAGCTGAACTTGCGGCCGTGGCGGCTGGTGTAAGTTTGGCAATTTTTTCACCCTCACTATTGAGTTGTTCCACAAAGCTGTCAACGTCTTTTGTTTTGCCACCCAATTTCAAGGCATTGCGTGAAACTGGTTTCCTAAAAGAAATTAAACAAAATTTTATTCCCACTCCGACGTCATGTTGTAAAATTGTTCCAACTTACTGTGGTTTTGGTGCAATAGGTTTATCCATTTCAATGGATGGCCCACCACTGCCCATGCCACCCATACCCATACTGGTTGTGTTGGCTCCAAAACCATCGGCACTGAAACCTCCGCTTGAACGGCCACCCATACCACCACCCATCGGTCCTCCTCGCTTGGCTGTCTCCATACGTTGCCGTTGCAACTCCTTTGCCTTTTCACGCATCTTTTGTTTAGCCTCTCGTTCTTGTGTTTGTCTCACGGCCTGGTACAATTTCTCTTCATGCGAGTCCATCTCAACATAGGTCTTAATTTGACCCAAATTTACACTCTCTCTGTAGCCTAAGGCAACAATTTCATCAAATGCAAAGATTAAATTGAAAGCATTTTCCAATATCTCCTTCTCCTCCAGTGTGTGACAGTATTCGGGTATAACCTTGGAGAACAGACGCAATGTTTCCAAATCTTCCAAAATATTACTGGCCTTGGTGGTAATCAACAGCATATACAACTTCTCCATGGGCTGATAAACATAACGCACCGAATCGGTTTCCACGTATGTGTGTTGTTTGCCCGCTGTCATCAGCTTGGGAAACGCAGCCAACAGACCCTCAATGCGTGCCTTGGTCATCTCCACAAATTGACGTGAGATAATCACTGAAATTGGAAAGGAATTAATAAGGCAATTTAATCTAGGAAGCATATCTATTTCACAACAAACCTTTTCCGTTTTTGGTGCACACCGCTGCCGCTATCAGAACCTGTAACAATCATCACCATATTAACATCATAGCACCCAGGCATGAAGATATGTTATTTGTTTTTGTTGATTTTTATCAAACACTCGAAAGATTTCCAACTTACCATTTTGAATTATTGTTTATTTACTCAGTTGTCGTCAGTTTCGAATGATTTTTGTTTAGATTTTTATTATTTTTTGGGGTTTAATTTGTAAAAATTAATTTTTTTGATGACCCTAGCTGACGTGTTCGATTAATTTTTTCCCAATGAGCGACAAATGTCAAAATTTTGTCTCAATTTCAGAGAGAGAATGGTAACCCTACATTGCTGTTAAGTCATTGTTGACATATTGGTAATGGTGTTGCCATACTGTACTTTAAGACTTGTTTCTAGTTAGAACAGCAATGAAATTAATAGAGACTTCATTAAGGTTAGGTTTACATTTATTTTTTTTTGTTTTGAATAAAATCGTAAAATTTTAATTTCAAATAAAAAAAGAAACAATCAGAAAACTTCGTGGTAAAGCAAGAAATATAGTTAAACATAAAGGGAACTAGGAAATATGCAAATATGTACTGGAGCCTTATTGTGTATAATGGACTTTTAAATCATAAAACAACAGACTTTGTTATTCTGATTTTAAAAGAAAGAATATTACCGCATACTACCTCAAGCTCCCAATTTCATTGAGAATATTTAGTAAAACGTGTTATTTAGATTATCAATACCTTTAACAATACGCCTAAAAACATTATGCATCTTCGCATAACACGTAATGTATAAGTCGGTGTAAAGCTGGCTTGAACTGGCTTGGATATATAATACACCCTCAGTTGGTGTATTTCCAGAAAAAAGAGTTTCAGTTACCCTACATTTACAAAAAAGTAGAGGTTGATAAAGTTCATGTGTTAAATGTCAATGATTTTTTCATTTTCTGATCCCGTATTTTTTGTTTATCATATTCCTAAAATAAATTTAATTATTTTTCTTTTAATTTGATTCTTATGTCAAAAATTGTTATTATTAATTGTCATCGAAAAATGCTAAACGTGAAATTAGTGATAATAATTATGTAAACTTTGCTATAGTCAGGCGATCTACTGCAGGGAGTGGATTCTTGTTCTATAAAAATATGAAATGAAAATTATTTGCTTTATATAATTTTTCTTTTGACATTTCCTTCCTTTGTAAAAGATTTCATTTCACATTTTCATATAACAAGAATTGTGGCCCAGGTGTGTCAGCAAAAGTAACAAATCTGGCAACATTATGTATTACATTAGAATACAACCCTGTGTTGTTTGCAATAACTGACACTTGGTGAATTCAATTTGGCGCAACCAATTACAACTACAACTCTCAAAGAGGCAGAAAAAACGCGAGGAACACAACTTGAGGAAACATATTCTTTTGCAGAAATTAACAAATAACAAAAATTCCAAATAGTTTTCGTGCAAATTTGTGGCGAATTCTTGCTTTTCTAAATGAGTTTGGACGATTCCATCAATGCCTACTTCGTTACAACCATTAACGCTGCCACCAACGACAGCGATGAGAAAGCCATCAAAGACTTCAAGAAGTCATTGACTTATTTACAAAATCACATTCCAGAGGAGAATATACGACAGATCAAGGCCAGCGAAGGTTTTCCCTTGATAGCCTCTGGAAGGCTAACAAAAAAAGATGTTTTCATTTTCGATCGTTTCGAAGGTGATTTCTTTCAGCAGCTGCAACAGACAAAATCATTGATTATTGGACCACCATGTCTAACGCAATGTTTGTTGAACGAACAGCAAATACCGTTGGGTACAAGTCCCGTGTTTACGTGTGCCATGCGAGATTTGCAAATCTCGGCAACTGGCATCACAGCCCAGGAGAAGGATAAACTGAAAAATTTGATACAATGGATGGGTGGTCATTATTTTCAAAATTTCGGTAGATCTGTAACGCATTTGATATCGAATACAATCAAGTCCACTAAATATGAACACGCAACATTAAATGGCATCCCGGTGATGCATGTTGATTGGGTTCAACGTGTATGGGAACGTAGCTGTGCTGCCCAGGTCTCAGCCACCGATGAGGAATTCGATAAATATAAATTGCCCATATTTTTTGGTACAAATATAACTTGTACTGGTTTGGACAGTGAAAAGAAAGATAAGGTAGGTTATACATTTTGTTAAAGTAGTTCATTTTTATACCACAGTTACTCGTTTTAGGTAATGCGTTTGGTCAATGAAAATGGCGGAACCTACCATCGTGCCTTCAGATCCCAACTGGTAGACATTGTCATAACTGAAAAGAATAAAACAAATTCAGAGAAATATGCAGCTGCTGTTCGGTATAAAAAAGATATCCTCTCACCCGAATGGATATTCGACAGTGTGCAAAAGGGATTTGCCTTGCCCACCAAACCCTATCAAATCAAATCGTTAAAGGTGTCTACACCAACAAAAACCGATCAAAGTTTGGCCGACTTTACGGTTGCCGAAAACACGGATATATCACGAATTAGTACCGCAGGTACTGGCAGGCGGGCTAACAGTGATATGACAACTGTAAATGATACAATATGTTCAAATCTGAATGAGAGCCATAGCAGTGGTCCAACATTTGTGGCGCCAATAAATCCCGTTTCAAAAGATCTCAAGAAAGATCTGTTGAAGAAAGCAGGCGCTGGTACTCATTATCGTTTGGTCTATGAAGAGATATGTCCCAAACAAGCCAAGAAGGCTGGAAACTTTTTGGATGGCTGTTGCATTTATTTGAGTGGTTTTCGTCCGGAAGAGAGGGAAAAGTTAAATCGTATTTTAAATGCTGGTGGTGCAACCAGATATGATGTGGTCAATGAAAAGATAACTCATATCATTGTGGGGCAACTGGATGACAGCGAATTTAAGGCATGGAAACGGGATAACATTTTAACAGGTACAACTTGTTATTGATTTTTATTTGATAAATTAATAACAATATTTTTTTCTTCCAGGCATTCACATTGTACGTCTGGATTGGCTTTTGGAAAGTATTAAAATAAAACAAACAGCCTCCGAGGCAGTTTATCGTGTCTCCTTGCCAACATCGCGGGAACCTGATGCACCATCACCCTCATCAAAGAAAACCTTACGTTCAATGAATCATAGTTTCAAACAACCAGATAAGCCCATAAAAAAGAAACTATTTTCTAAAGATGCCGAAAGTGATATGGACAATGATAGTGATGCTGCAGCTACGCCTAAGAATGCTGTGGAACTACCATCGGAAGCTGAAGAAAATGATCTGATATCACAATATTCACAAGAAAATGTACCGCAAGCTCCTCCACCATTGCCTCAAAATGTAACCATACTGCCGGATGAGTCAATGTCCCATCCCATGGCTTCATCCACGCAGTGTACACCAAATGAGCCGCCAACAAAAGCCAAAACACCTGCAGCTACTTCAGCAGCACCTCAAGCTCAGCCTTCAAATGTTACAGATGCATCCGGCTTTACAATTGATTATGAGAACTTGGATTTCTTCCAAGGAATGTCATTGTACATTGACAACAATCATTTCCCCGAAGAATTCTACACACAAATGATCAGTGAGTGTGAAGCTGCCCAAGGCAATATTGTTCCGGCCACATTTCGGGATCCCGTCGACTATGCCATTGTGTCGTTTGAAAGTACTTTGGATGTCAGTAAATTGCCTGTAAAGGCAAGGAATATTGTCACAGAATTGTATGTGGTAAGTATCACTTGGAGTTCATATTTCAATAAAAATCATAACTTTTGTTGCTTTCGACATTGCAGGAAAGTTGTATGAAAGTCAATAAATTGGTACCCATCGAATATTATCACAAACATATCCCCCACACAGCAGATATGCAACCTTTGCAGGGTATGACAATTGTCATTTCCATTTATTCGCTGCTGGAGAGAGATTTCATTGACTCCATTGCCCAACTACTTGGCGCCAATGTAAACAAGACTTTTGTAAAGAAAGAGAGGCCCCTGCTCATATGTCCCAATCCGGAGGGTTCGAAATATGAAGGAGCTCTCAAGTGGCGTTATCCTGTCGTGACATCGGAATGGCTATTAAAATGTGCCGAAGAAGGAAGAAAGGTATCCTATGGTCCCTTTCTTGTGGGAGATAGTCCTGAAGATTTCCCCCTATCGCCCACCTTGCGTGAACGTAACACAACAAATTCTGCCCGAAAGACGGTGGACAAAAACACCCCAGCAACACCCATCAATCAGCCACCACCGCAACCACAATATATGGATGTTGACGGTGTTGAAAATAATCAGGGTAACGCAACTCTCACGGATGCGGATAACAATCTGCCGGCACCTGAAACATTTACACCATTGCGTAATAAAAGAGTCTCTGAATTGGCTGGTCCTGGTCGGGTAACACGACAATCATTGGGAGGTAATACAAGTCTCACGGGACCCGAATCGCCGCACACTCCGACCAACAATTACGCCAAGGCTTCGTACAATTTTGATTTCATGGAAAACATTTTGGCCGAAATTGAAAACGAAGAAGAACGTGAATGTCTGCGTGAAGTTATAAATGAAATGAAAAATAATCAAACTCCCGAATTGGAAAGAATACGCCGTCAAGCTTGTACACCCATAAATCGTAAAGTACCCACGCCCAAAGGTATACCAGATTTTTGTACAACTCCCGAATTTGAAAAACGTATGGCTGATGAATTTGAAAGGCGTTGGCGTTTGCCAACCAAGAAAATGAAACCCGACACACCCATAGATGAGATACGTAAACGTGTGCTGAGGGCTACTTGTAAAGCCATGGGTATACCGTACAGTGATGACGATGAAGAGAAGGCTTCGAGTAGCCGTAAATCCTTGGCATCAAAATCGAATAGCAATTTAGATACTACCCCCTTGAACAATAAAAGTTTGCGTAGTGCCTCTGCCATAGCGCCAAGGGCGATTTTTGGTCAAAACAATACACCAGATCATCAAAAGACTGTCTCCACCTTTAATATACCTGCAAATGAAACAAGAAAATCCGATACATTTATACCCAACACACAAAGTCCAAATACATCGGCGGCGAATAGACGTAGCATAACACAATCTTCGCCCAGTGGATTGGGTCAGCGGGCCTCCTTGGGTGGTGTGGGCAAATCAACAATTAATTTCGATAAAATCAGTTTTGAAGAAACAAATGTTGAAGAAAATGCCGCGGGAGCTGCAACAACATCCAATGCCACAGCCACCACCACCAGGCCATCATTGCCAACGGGTGCTTCACCTGAAATCAAACAAATTACGGATTATTTACGTAATTGTGATTCGAGACGACAAAGTTTGAAACGCACCCGACTCAGTAGTGATCAACAGCAATCGACGCTTCAATCGATGGAAACGGAAGCACATTATGTTCAACCATTCGAATCGGAACAATTGCAGACTGAAGATATGGTGGGTTGGCGTGATCCCACCGAATTCCATGCTCAGCGTAAGGCACGTCAAGTGGCACCGTCGATGCAATATCAAGGCACACCACGTTTTAGTATTTCCTGTTCCGACGAGGAGACCAGAGATGATATAATATCGAAAATTTTGCAATTGGGTGGGGAGGTAAGTGAGAAAAAAGAATATGATTCAAAAATAATGAAAAGATAAGTAATTGAAATGGCATTTAAAAAGCCCTTTAAAGGTATTCCATCTATAGAAGAACTCTTTTATAGGTAGGTTTTCATATTATAGAAGATCTTGCCACTGTCATACATTTAGAAACTATTGTAAAGGTCCTCTAAAAGGAAGTATTTTTAGAGGTTTTCTTTGCATGGATATCTTATTATTGAACGAACGAAATTGAACGCTACTTTCGGTGCTTTTGTCTCTTTGTGTTCTCTAAGCGTCTTCCAATTTTTAAAAACCTCTAAAGGGGTTTTTCGTTTCAAAAATATCTGTAACAGGTCTTCCATCCCTAAAGCATGTTGAAGATTTCTACAAATATAAAAGGAAGATGAATGTCCACATTCTATAGATTACCTCTTCTCTTTATTAAAATAATTACAAAATATTTTCAATCTGTAGTAGACAGCTATGAAGTCTTCTGGTTCTAAATGTTGTTCTGTCTGTAGAATTGTATTGTACTGGTCTGTAAAATTTAACTAACTCTTAAAAAATCTAGGGGTTTTATCCATTAAAGAAATATATAAACTCTTCTATCTACTTGAGGCTCATGACTGGTGTATTGAGAGAGAGATAAGTGTGAGGTCTCCCATTCTAAAAATCATTTTAAAGGCATCCTGCCTCGAGACGGCTTCTATAAGGTATTTTGTCTGTGGAAGTCACCTGAATATGTTTACTATCTTCAAAAAAATATGTTATTGTCTGCTACAAGATCTTTTAAAAATTTCTCAATCACCAGAGCTTCTAAAAGGTAGATACCAAAAAAGACGTACATAAAAAATTCGCCGATTTTTGGTCGAGAGGTCTTAAAAATCCACAATTTTTGAGGTACTTGGAAAAATCCACAATTTTTGATCAAGAAAACTTGGAAATATTTAGAAAAAAAAAACGCGATTTTTTTATATTTTTAAATTCGCGATTTTTTGTCAAAATAAAAAACGTGATTTTTGGCCAAACAAAAAACCTACAATTTTTGGTCGGTAGGTCTAAAAATCCACATTTTTTGATAAGAGGCCATTATTTTTGCAAAGCTGAAAAATAAAAGACGTGTTTTTGCTCAGATCCGACAAAATCTGAGATTTTTGTTCAGTTTCTTGAAAAATCGAAAAAATAAGGAAATTTTTTATTTAATTCCGCGATTTTTTCAAACTAAAATTTGACGATTTTTTTAAAAAACTTTAAACGATTTTTTAAACTAAAATTTTACGATTTTTGGAATATTTGGAACTTTAAAAAAGGCTTTATAGAATTTTTTCGACGTTTTTAAGGCTGATTCTTAGTGGGCTATAATTTAAAAAATCTGCGGTTTTTGGTCTGGGTGGTCTAAAAGACATTTTCTTAAAATACGCTATTTTGGTCGAAATATTGTAGATCTTTGGTCAAACAAATTTTATGATTTTTGGTAAGGAGGTCTTAAAATCCACAATTCTTGGTACGAGGTAAAAAACATTTTTTCAAAATTTAAAAAAATAACACGTTTACAATCCTGGGTAAGAGGTCTTAAAAAATCCACAAATACTGGATTTTGGGTCAGCAAATAATGAACTATATATATTATTTTAAATCTGCATTTTTTATTATAACAGGAATTTTGTCTTAAAAATCCACAATTCTTGGTAAGAGATCCTTGAAAATATCCACAATTTTTAGAAAACTTGGTAACATGAAAATGCGCAATTTTTGGCCCAGAAAACTCTTAAAGAATTGAATAATTTACTATTTTTTGGTCAGGAAAGTGTAAAAACCTTAAAAAATCCAAAATTTTCGGAAAACTAAAAAAATCGAAAAGAAGCGATTTTTTTTAAATAAAGACTTTTGGTCAAACTTCTTGGAAATATTAATAAAAACCGCAATTCATATTTTTTTTTTTTTTCAAAAAAATTGTGTTTTTAACAAAAATATATTTTGTTCAGGAGGAATGTAATTTTTTTAATTCGCGATTTCTGGATGTTCCGAAACACATTTTAACAAAAAAAATTTAAGTGTTTGTTTTCTCTTTCGAGACGAGCTTAATGATCTGAAATTTGCAGTGAAAAGGAAAGCCAGATAGAAAATTTAAGTTGAAACTATTTTCAAAAGAATCGGCGACAAGGACAACTTGGATATATTTAAAAAAAAAATGCGATTTTTGATAGATTTTGATATAAATCCACGATTTTATGTCAGGAATCCATTGCAACAATTTGTTTTGAAAATTCACGAATTATTGGCCCCCATGTCTTCCATAGTCAAACCTTCTTTGAAACAACATTTCACATATTCTTATATTTTCGGTTGTTTTCTAGAAATCCATTAGAAATCATTTCCGAACTTTTCTGTGCATAATAATCCTTTTAATTAGTATATTTTTCAATAGTGCATTTTTTACTGACTATATAACTTTCTATTTTCCTTTTCAGGTTTGTGAAAATTTGGTAAACTTCGATCCCGAATGCACTCACTTCGTTTGTGAGAAACCCAATCGGGGTGAGAAAATGCTCGGCTGTATATCATCTGGAAAATGGGTACTTAGTTTGAAATATATCGAAGAGTGTTTTGCCAAGGATGTCTTCATCGATGAGGAACTTTATGAATGGGGCAATTGTAAGGCTCTCAATTTGCCACAACTAACGGCTGATGAACAGGTTATTGCAACGGCAGCACATCGTTGGCGCAAAGATCTATCGGGTACCATATTGGGAGCATTTACCGGCATACGGGCCATACTACGTATAAGTAATCGTAATGTTGATGCTCTGAAAAATGTTATCAAGGCTGGCAAGGGTGAAATTGTAGAGGCCACAGCACCCTATAGCTCATGCGCCAAGCTGGCAGCAACGGCCACTCACTGTTTTGTGGATGTGAAAAAATGTCCCTTAGATGCCGATGATTATGAATTTCTTAAAAATCATGATGTCTTTGTGCTAACCCAGATGTATATCAATGCATTTTTGATGAATGGCCCGGATGTAGATAGGGCCAAGTATGAGATTCATATGTAAACAATAGTAGGAAATCAAGCTAAATCATGGTTAGTTGAGAAGTAATATTCTATAGCAGTAGAATAAAAAAAAAAAACAATAACTTAATGAACTGATATTTTATTTTTTTATTATTATAAAATTAATTTATTTTTCTCTTTTCTAAAAAAAAAAAAAACAAATTAAAGATTTTTTTTGTAATAAGTTGTGTTTCACATATTATGATTAATAATAATACAAAATGTTTTTTCTTCTTTAGTTCTAAAATGTTTTCAAATAATATTTGTGTGTTTTCTTTTCTCCTCTTCTTTTTTTATTTTTAAAGCCAGCAAGCAAGTTATACAAAAACTATTGTCAAAATTCAAGCAAAACTAAATCACAACCCATTAAAGCAATATCCCGTGTGTACTTTTCCAACATCCATCATTCATATCTCAAAAAAAAAAAGTAAATATGCAAATTTCCTCCGCAAGGTTAACCGAATACATTTCAAAACTTCAAACGCAAAACTCAATTTATTCGGAAGTCTGTGAGTACACATTGTAAATGTAGCTGTTGTAGTTTGTCAATTCAATTCATTTAACTGCCATAGAGATTTTAAATTTGTTTATGACCACATTTGCAAAACAAATTCACTTCCGATCCGATGATGTGTTTAAAAATAACTTCAGTTGGTTTTGTAGGCAGCAATATTTTTAGAGTCTGTGTTACTAAACTTTATGCAAATATATTCCATGGTGTTTCTGGATTGCAAAGGAGTGAATGTAAAAGATCACTGATATTATTATTCATTATTCATTAGCATAAAGGTCGAACCTTTGCTGCCAAGTGGATTTGTTCTCACATATAACTCCCAAGACATCAATATGGCTTGAGGGTTACATTATAATAAAACTTAAGAAAATAGGGCTTAAGCTTGAATGAATATTGGTTGAATTCCTCCAATTTTCAATGCGTCCAGTTTATGATTTGGTTATTAAAAAAAACAACTTTTTGCTGACAATTTTCACAGAACTACAAAATGTCACCAAAAGAGAAAAATTTGTCCACCACAAATATTTCTCAAGTATTGCTAACAAAATTGATTATTAACTGGTTCATCGTAATATTATTATCAAATTTAAATCGAATTCGGAGATGGGTAAAATCGGTCCACTCCCTTTGGTACCTCCCCCACAAAGTGTCAAAATTTGCAATAATTACAACTCTTATAAAATGTTATGTAAGACTCCCATTGTCTTCAAATTTCATATATCCCAATATTTTTATAAACCCAAGATCTGGTGTTGAGATGGAATATATCGGTCCACTCCTTCCGTTGCCTCCTCCACAAAGGTTCAAAATTTTGAATATCCATGAAGTTCATAAATCGTGAAATTAACATTCGATTCCATTCAGACTTGGCACATCTCAATACTTCCAAACAAGGTAAGATAAAAAAACTGCAACAAAGTCAAACGCCATAATTTCTACATTTTTTTTTTTCAAATTTTATTAAATGAAAGCAAAAAATATCGGAAATAGCATCAAATTTTAGAATAAGTTTAGATTTGTTCGAATTGGTTACCATTTGCACGAATTAATGCCTTCAAACGGCCAATGAAACCGTCACACGCTGCCCGTATGTTGCTCTGCGGTATTTTGGGGCCATTCCTGGCGAACCGCTTGCTTGATTGAGGTGATCGACACTTGGTATTTTTTAGTGTCAATCTTGCTTTCCAAAATACTCCAGACACAATAGTCCAACGGATTGGTATCCGGAGATTTTGGTGGCCATTGTGCACTGGAAATGAAGAGAGGAACCTTATTTTGTAACCCTTTTTGGGTGGCGCGTGCTGAGTGCGATGGTGCTGAGTCCGGTTGGAATGTCCAAGGTCTGCGGCCAAAATGTTTGCGTGACCAAGGTTTTAATACACCCTCCAGAATATTCTCGCGATAATATTCGGCATTTATTCTGATTTATTAATAAAAGCGGAGAGCGACCATCGGCTGTTATGGCAGCCCACACCATCACTATGGCCGGCGCTTGAGTTCTGTACGCCAAACGATGGTGCACATTTTCAGCTGATCTCTTTGGCAAGTAAACACGATGATTTTGTTTGTTTACAAACTGCTAGACAACGAATGTTTTCTCATCAGAGAAAACTAAATTCGGCAGTTCACCACTTTCGGTGAACTGTTTAGCTCTTTTGAGTCTATTTTCTTTCTGCTGCGGTGTAAGATCTTGCACTTTTTGGAATTTCAATGGCTTTTCTCCGAGCTCATTTTTCAATATTTGCCGAATGGAATATTGCGATATGTTCACCTCACGATCCATTTTTCGGCCACTGCATGGTGGTTTTTGCAAATACCAATATTTTTATGAGTATTAGATGAAGTATGAAAATTGAATCTTTTACCCCACGCATATTTCCACATTTTCCAAAAATGTTGCACATATCTCATATAACGTATAGGAAGTAGTCGATATAGTCCAAATGTGGCACGTTGTAATATTTTTATCAGTCTCAGGTCAGATACGAATTGGTCAATATTTGCCAACTATTTTGGAACTATTTGGAACGAATTTCAATGTGCGAATTAAAATTTAATTGGGGATCATTAATCTACATATATTATTTCCTTTGGATCAAGATTTGAGCATGAGTTCCGGCATTTCCCATGATCACCTTTGTTATCCCTTTGAAAATAGTAATGTTAAAACATTAGCCAGTTAACACTTGTTCGAACTACTTGAATGGAAAATGTTTTCCAATTTTGCTGATAACACTTTGTAACAATGGCATAAGGCAGGCGGGCAGACAAAAATGTAATTGAAATTATCTTCTCGTAGGGTTTTGTTTCTATTTTTGTTATCAACAAACATGAATGGTGGCTTTAATTCAAATCACATGGGAACATTTCTTAGAAAGACCAACAAAAATATTCATTCATATTTAATCTAATATAGTGGGTAGGAGATTTCATTGTTTCGAATGGGAATGCCTTGTTTAAAGGGAGTGAGAAAAAGGGGATTTTTAAACAATTTAGGGAACATTTTCAAATTGCAATTATAAAAATGAAATTTGAATTTTGAATGAAATAATAATTTAATTTTTGAAAAATTTTAAATTTATGGGTTAATTTCTCCTTCGAGACGAGCTTAATGGTTTGAAATTTGCGGTGAAAATGGAAAGCCAGATTGACACTATCACACACTCACCACTATGCGATGTTTTTCGCCGTTTGTTAAGTAATAGTTATCTATTTTATGACATCGAGGACTTTATGAATTGCGCTTTCCCCTCCTGGTTTATCTATGGGGCGTAGTGCTGTTGGTTTTTGTTGTTGTTGTAATAGTTTTGTCAACAGATGTTTTGTTAGAATTCTGTTAATCCGGTTCTAACTTCAGGTATAAAAATCCGGCTACCTTCACGAGCTGTAACGAACTATCTTCCGTAGTGGGTGGGGTAGGAGACTCGACTTCTTGTTTCTGAATTCCACGTACGATTGTCTTTTGATAGATCAAGTGCCACCATAGCTGTTCTGTCACACGGCCTGTTCTGGTTGAGTCCTCTACTGACATGTGTGGAAATGGCATGTAAAGCTGGCTAGACCAAGTCTTCTTGTCCGTCCCTCAAATGCTACCGGCTAGAGCCTTGAGGACCTTGTTCCTACTTTTCAATTTATCGCAGATAGTTGTGGCTAGCGCGGACGATTTACATATGCTGTCAAATATGACGCCTAGGATCTTGGGTCGGAATTGAGTTTTCCTCGACCTGCATATTCTGCTGTGTTCTCACCTTCGCAGATCATGTGGTAAAGAGTTTGTTTTAGTGGCGGATATTTGCATATTCCTCGCACGGAATTAGGCGGCAAGCTCCGTGATATAGGTACTTAACCTTACACATATGTCATCAACACTAACACTGTTGGAATGTCCAAAGTCTGCGGCAAAAATATTTGCGTGCCAAAGGCTTTAATACACCCTCCAGAATATTTTTGCGATAATATTAGGCATTTATTCTGATGCCACGAACGAAGAATACGAGCGGAGAGCGAACAGCGGCTGTTATGGCGGCCCACACCGTCACCATGGCCGGCGCTTGAGTTCTGGTGGCCAACCGTAGGTGCATATTTTCAGCTGACCTCTTTGGCAAGTAAACACGATCATTTCAACGACAACGAATGTTTTCTCATCGGAGAAAACAAAATTCGACAGTTCACCTTTTTCGGCCAAGCGAAGTAACTCTTTAGTTCTGTTGAGTCTGTTTTATTTCTGTTGTGGTGTTAATACTTGCACTTTTTTGAATTTCAATGGCTTTACCCCGAGCTCATTTTTCAATATTTGCCGAATGGAATATTGCGATATGTTCAGCTCATGAGCCATTTTTCGGCCACTGCGTCGCAGGTTTCGATCAAGTCGCTTCTTTATTTTTCGAACCATTTCTGCTGATGTTGTTGTTTTCTTCCGTCCAATCCCTTGACGTCGGGCTACGCTAACAGTATCACGGTAACGAGCGATGGTACGAGACACAAAAGATTTATTCACATTTAAATGCTGAAGTGCTCTAACGATGACCACTTGTGATTTTCGATCCAAATATAAAGAAATCCCACTATCACGTTTGAATTCCATCACGAATAATTTTTTTCCTGGAAAATTCTCACCAAAATGCTTTTGTACGCTTGTAAACAATATAATGAGCTGTCACTGGAATAATTTTAACAGCTGTCGGATGAGTGGCTTAGAAATGACAGCAGTCTGAAATTGGTTGCAGTTTTTCATCTCACCCTGTATCTATCTTAATTAGAGCTTTTCGTGTCCACGAGGTGAAAAATAACACCTACTGCTTGGTAGATGATTTTGCCACATGGTTCTCTCGAAAGAATTTTTTGATGTTTATTGCTAAGTTGTCGAATGTCTTAGCACTTACCACTTTAAATGAATAAAACCATTAATTTTGATCTAAGTTCAATGCACTTCTAATAAATGTCATTATGTAATTTTATTAATGCTAATTCCTTCTCTGTTAACGGTGATTTTAACCTCAAGAGTTGGCTCTCATCTGTAAGTGTCCGTTACACACACTCTCCTAACAGCCTTCAAATTCGCACATGTATGTGAACATGCGAAACTTGAACATGGTAGACTTGTTGCTCTTATTATTCAACTTGACCTTGACAATAATGTTTGAAAGAATGATATTGGTTTTTATTGTTGCTGCTTTTGATTTATTTATTTATTTTTTTTGTTCACTGCAACAACCCATTCGAGAAATCGGAATAAATTCCGTAATCAATTTATTTATTATTGATTAAATCGGACATACCTTCAACAATGTAGACATACATATGTACATAACTATATATGTTGGTGTTTGTGTGAATTTTCTTGTCCATTTAAAAATAAAAATTAAAAAAATCAATTATAAATATACAGTGAGTTGCAAATATATTTTACCAATATTAAAAAGCTTACCCCAAGGCCAGGCACTTAAAATTGCAATAAAAACTAAAGGGGTTAATGGATAAGAAAATTGAATCTTTTCTATCATATTTCCGCTTTGTAAAAAACTAAAATTTTCTTTTGTGAAATCTTATCTAGTTTCTCTGAAGAGCTTTCCTACATCGTCGGATAAAAGTTTGCTTGATATTTGTGTTGGAGCGAAAATGGTTTAAAAAGTTTGAATTTCGTGACATATATTTTTGCACTCTCTGTAGGCATATGTTTGCATGTTTGAAATGCTACTTCGCT